TGCCAAAATATTATCTCGTAAAACCATTGAAAAGAGCACTTTCATTCAATTGGCACGGCAAAAATAACAATCTAATCTAGTGGTCCACCGTATTTCCACGGAGAATCTTCGTAAGCGAAACGCGATTTTCCTTTTACTCTTTGTATCGGTTTCCTGTGTTTCTTCTTTTTCCTCTTCTCTTGTTTGTTCATTCCTCCCTTTGCTGAATTACCCTTCGGTCGTGTTCCAGCATTCTTCTTTGTGTTCTGTGTTTTGGTTTTTGTGAGAGATGAACTCTTTTTAGGTGACTTCTTCATTCCTTTCATGCCTGCATTAACTGGTTTCAAAGATTTAGAGCTCTCTTTCTTTTTGTTATCAAACGCGGGATTCTTTCTAAGTCCTAGTTTTTCTGCTCTATCCTCCCTCTCCTTAATTTTGTTTATCTTTTTTGCCGTGACTTTGTCTTTTTTATGGTCTGCAGATTCCGGCAATGCTACTTTGCTGTTATTACCCTGTGTAGTGGATACTACAGGAATGCCCACAACTGCTGCCTTTTCTTCGCCTTTGTTCTCCGTAGTATATTTTTCAACATTTGCATCACCCACTAACTTCTTATTCATACTGCTGGTACTTTCACCCAACTTTTCTTTCCCTTCATCCCCATCCTGTCTTCTAACTCCTCTGCCTTTGTTTTCGGAAATCCTGGAACTCTTACCTCCTCTAGGTGTTTGCTTTTCAACGCTTTGGGTGGGTGTGATGCTGTTATCGTTTTCCTTATTAGAATCATTTTCGTTAGCATCATCTGCTTTGTCAAACTCGTATTTATCTAGCATTCCCTCTCTACTTACGAAATCAGTAACTTTTTTCAAATTTTCTGGTTGGTGTGACTCAGTAGCATAGGTAGCTTCAGCTTCTATAAATATGTCTTTACCAGCGTTTGCATTTTCTTTTTCTCTATGCTTGTCAGAAAGATTTGTTAGACTCTTGTTCGTAGTTGAGCCTGAGAAGCCCTCTTTGCCTTCATTCGATCCTCCAATAGGCCTTACACTGACTTCAACCGCACCTGTCTTTGTCTTTTTCGCGCCTTCGTTGCTTAAAGAGCTTTGCACACCATCATTTTGGGAAGGTGCTAAACTGCTTTCCGCTAGATTTCTTTGTTTCTTAGAGTCATCTCTACTTTC